ACAAAAATAACTATTATGCTTGAATATGCAGGATGGTTTACTCAGAAGTAGGCTCGTTATTTACAAAATATTTAAAATCAGTAAACCTAATAGGTTGTCGAGGAAGTATAAATCAATTAAAGTCCCGTTGAAAAACTGCCTGTGAACACTCCTAAAATTGCAATAGCGCGGGGTTTTATGATTCTTTCATATTTAAATTGAGACCAGGATAGGTCATGTCTGCTTTTGTTGACTGCGGCAGAGATCGACCAAAGCAGTTTGCTTACCTCAATTAAAACCTAGAGTGTTCTCACAGGGGCTTAACTGCAATATAATACTTTTCCTTTCTGAGATCTCCCCAAACTATTCCAATTCTTTGTTTCGGAGTCACTGACATTATATAAGACGTGATCAGATTGTTATTCTTCCAAGTGCTTCGTATACCACATTTTTCTCCAGAAACCAAGCATGAGTTCTCCTACGTTTACCTATAGTTAGTCTTTCCATTACGCACCATAATGTAACAATGAAGATTTAGTACAATTCAGTTAACTAAACGACGACAGTTAAGACTAAGTTTAGTTTTGAGGGTATGTATTAGAGACAAATTTAAAGAGACGGTACCAACCGTCTGATTCAAAAGACACAAAAGCTGGATTTGCAATTGTCGGTTTTCCTAGTGAGCTACATTAAAAAAAATACTATGTGAGTAGTATTGTTCACTGCTAATTTATAGTTAGCCCCAGTTGTCAGGAATTGCACTTGGGTTAGCCAGTTGGGTCTATCAACTGTAGTTAGGCAAACCTGACCAATTCATACAGCCAACAAGTTACAGTTATTGCAGATTCCACCTGAAGATTACGTAGAGCCATTGTTCCCTTAGATTCTCAAGTCACTAACAAATGTGCGTACGTCCCATGGACGAAGCAGAATATTAGAATGACAGGATATAAAATTAACATAAATGATACACACAAACCCACGAACCTAAACGCATCCACACATATATACATACATGACTGCATGCATTCATAAATGCGTACATATATACACACACATACATACATACATACACACATACATACATGCATACATACATACATACATAAATAGATACAAACATACACATATACGTACATACGTATATACACCTCCATAAATCTTTACTATTCAAATTTTGACTGTCTTTCCGCATCATAAAAATGTTGTATGTTTTAGCTTCTGTATCATTTTCAGCATCCAAAACGATACTTCAATACTATTTATCCCATATTTGGGGTAGATTTTACTTCCCTTGAATCATATAATTATATAAATTTTTACTGTAATATATATAAAAATATGCAAAAGCATACTCCAGTACGTATATTCCTTTCAGCTTATATCGGTATGTTCGTGTGCACATACCCACATAAATAAATATCAGCTGTTATATAAATGCATAAGTAGAATAGCGCATCACAGGGTTAGTGACTATCTCTGTTACGTAATTTAGATCCAATTTACCTCAAAATAACTTATGCAAACTGAAAATCAACGGAGTGAAGTAAATTAAAATTATGCTTTCTTCATACACAGCTGTATATACATAAATAATGCTACACGAAGGTTTCAGTTGCAATTAAATTGATTTTAGATTTAAATTATTGAGCAGAAAACAAGAAGAAAGTAAAGAAATACCTCCAAATTTTGGAGTTTAGTGCGGGCTGGTTATTAGAAAGAGGAACTGGTGTAGATTTATGTCTTTATTTATGGTATATAATCGAACAACTAAATACAATTCAATCAAACCTTCCAAAACGGTGCGCATCAATGATGACAATACCTATATAGACTTTGAAGATGAAACAGCTTACTCCTTCAGAAAATAGTAGATTGGAATTACCATTTAGTTTTGATGAGATCTGAATGGATCAATATAGTTGTCCAGTAGGTTTCGGATTTCCAGTTCACGTTTCATTTGCTCTGTACAAAACGAGATTAAAAATGATTGGTAAATTAATTTTCTATTTTATTCTCAGCTTGCTATTGTCCGGGGTTACTATTGAGCTAGCCACAGAAGTAAGGAGATGGCGGTTTGTAGCCGGTTATCACTACTCCGCTGAGGTCATAAATCATATTAGGGCGGTTAACAGATGCAAAGTAGGCTGACAAATTTTGAAAATAGGTGTGGCATTTCTAATAATATCCTTTCGAATTATGTTACGCTTCTCTGTATTGTATTACATACATATATTCGAGGCAAACTTGTGTGTGAACGGTTACAAAGTAACCTTATTTACATTATTCAGCTGTTTCCACAAACATATACTCACAGTTTGCATGTGTGCAGTCAAAGGTGCATACCTACATAAATTAAGAAAAAGGTAGACAAACTAACACTCATGTGTGTTCAAGTATGCGTGTTACTTACACGGATGCATATAAACATATATAAATACGTACATAAATACCTACATACATGTGTGTGTGTGCATACTCTCACGAATACAAACCAATATACTTACGTAATCCTTTGCAACATATAAATTGTTGATGAAACATCCACTCTAAGATATTCGGAAAACAGGTGTGTTCTGAAAAGAGAGCCGACGTGATACTGAATGCATTTTCTTCATATCGGTATGGATAGGCTAAGGCATGTATGGCGGTAAAATTCATGGAGCTGGCGAGGATTAAGTGGACAATCATTGGACTAGTTGTTGAATGTTCAAAGATCAGTCTAAAGGAGCAACAGCAGCAGAAACGAGTAATCGCACTGGGAGGAAGAAGAGACAAACTGATGCAGAATAGCAAACACTTCCTCAGTGGAGATTTAAAAACCTGAGCTGATCACAAAGGAACTGCTAAATGGTTGATTGACCGTGGCCGTGCGATTTCTTGTGTGAACTAAAGCAAATGAAAGACACATTTGGATATTCGTTTTGAAGAGTTGAAGATGGCGTCGTCTCAGACCCAGAGGTATCATCAGATGCAGAAAAAACGTGCGTTTAGACCCACAGGCGAGGAAGGGTAGGTTTAGAGTTGAAAACCAAATTTTCCCTAAAAAGAACAAGGTAAAAATCGGAGTTATTCCGTTGAAAAGGCACATACTTTGGAGAGAATAAGCAACCATTGCATTGGTATTTTATTAGAAGACTGAATAGTTATTAGAAATCGTTGCTGACTTAACTGTGCCTAAACAATAAAACTGGGGGAAGAGTTAAGATAAAAATCACCCTTTACGGCAGTGTAGTAACATCCTGTTCTAGTGCATTCCTGGGACTAATGCAATCAGATAAATGGGCGAAGATCTCCCATAAGGTAGCAGATGACTAACCAAAGGTGACAGATAATGGCGTTGGCGACCTACAATTTTGCTGCTGTTTACAAGAACTTCTTAAAATCGTGGTATAAGTGGAATAAAATTATTTTAATTGGTACCGCTGATGGAGTTTCCTCTGCTACTAGCATTTTGTCATCTCAATATTTTCATCATATGCTTATTGTTTTATACGACTAACGTGCACCTATTTACAATTTATTTCTTATTTTCAGTTATAAATTTGACAGCATTAGACTAGCAAAAAGATGTTTCATTGCTTGGCATCTGGCCGTTGTGCCAGTTCATTGATTACAAAATGGAGACCTAATTCTTTTGTGGTCGCACGATATTTGAAATGTTCTTCAGACACTTCAAGTAATGTACAAATCCGTCCAATTAAGAAGGTTCTCGTTGCAAACAGAGGTGAGTTCATTTATTTTAACATGTTTTGTATTCATCGCTATAATTCCAAGCGTTTCCTTCGTGGTTTTTTAGAAAGTTTTAAACATAGCACTGAACCTAATAATAAAAATGTTTGATCATAGGCTTTCTGAGATAATTCAATAAATCCATGACGATATGAATGAGTAGATTCGAAATAGTGCTGTTTGTTATAAAGTGTAAAAGCGTTAATTAAAAGCTTCCTTCTCAGCTCGTACGATAAATGTTTCAAGGAAATTTGGATAAATTTTCCGTTTGCAAGCATAACTATGATAGCTATGATGCGTTTGCTAGTGCAAGTTAAAAAATATCCAAAGTTATTACAAAAGGTTACCTTTTGTGATATAACTGAAATGTCTGCGTTGTGAGAAAGCACCGGGATAGAGTCAATTGTAGCGTTTGTTGAACTGGTCCAAGTTATTGATTCTAGGGATGTTCCATCTTTGTTGTCAATTATCCTAAGGCGTCTACCTCAAACTGAGAAACTACCCTTAATTTAGTGCAATTTTTCAAGTGCTTTTACAGCACGATAGAAAAAATACTATCCAATGAAAGCTTGCACAAATTTTCCCTATAATTGCTGACGCAGTAAGTTATTGAGAAAATTGATATCAATACGGAAGCAGATACTACATCTACGTAATAAAAGAAAACCATAATATAAATTACATGCATCCCCGAAGCACGTTTGTTTAAATTGATACTTGGTTTACTTGACAGAGAGAGAGAGTGTGTTTAGGCACATCTGTATGCTTTGGTTACCATATAGTGTTCCGTTTTTTTACCTCTGACTTTGATAATCTATTCTGAAAAGTCTCAGCTGATTGAAAAATATCTGAGGACATTCAGCGCTAGGAAAGGTATTTGGTGAGACCGAGGTTGGGAAAAATGGATGAATCTGACGTTAACCTATACAGTTTGACTACGATCACCCCCCTGAATATCTCTAGGTTTTCAAGAATTGAACAACCATAATAGTTTAGCGATTATACGCGAGTTAACCGGTGCCTGTGCAGTGCGTAAAATACTTTTTGGTGCGTTATTCACAAATACAAATACCTCAAGAATTCTACTTTTATCACTGTATCACTTGGGCAAACACTGAGAAAATGTTTGAATTAATCAGATGGATTGTTAAAGATTAGTAAAACTCTTATTGATGAGAAGTAGTTAAAAGAAAATCCAAATTACTGTTTGTCCAAAATAAAGGAGAACAAAAGATATTATCAATCCCCATTACAACTTGATAGTAGGTAATGCATAATCCTGCTGAAGGTTTCTAAACTGCTGTTCCATAAAAGCGTACAACGCATCAAATCTGTTCACCATTATCCCAACAAATGCAGGTGAAATTGCTATTCGCGTGTTTCGAGCCTGCAGTGAAATGGGGATTCGGACGGTTGCAGTTTACAGTAAACAAGACACAATGCAAATGCACCGTCAGAGAGCGGATGAATCCTACTTGATTGGAGCAGATCTGGCTCCAGTGGCGGCTTATTTAAACATTCCAGAAATATTGCAAGTTGCCAAAGTAAGTGCGATATGCGTTTTAATAAACCCTACTTGTATTTACGGTGGTTGTGAAAAATTTTATCAGGCTGAATGGATGTAGAACAACAATGTTTAAATCAAAATAGCTGAAACTTTAGGGTTTCGTTTATACAAACAATAAATTTGCACTTTGTTGAGTCTCTTTTGATTAGTACTTTTCGGTTGCGTAACTAGATGAACAATCATTCGTAGATTGTCCCCAAGGTCCTCTACCGGAAGTCCAATGTTACCTCTGTGACAAATTACCTCGGTTGGGAGTTTTTATATCTTCATATCAGATCTTATTTGGACTACTCTCACCTTTCTTGCACTCTTTGACTACCTCCGCAAGAATTTCACATAGAGAAAGTCTATCCGATGGCATGAGTAACACACGCATCAGACATGGTAACCTATTGAGGTTGATCACTTGCTCCTAACCACGGTATTGGCTTTTCAGTTACCTAACCGAACTCGATTAACGCAGCGTCGACAGCGATAGTCGAAAACAGGTAGGTTTTATTTACTCCGCTTTCGTAACAATCCATTCTCCGAACCGTATAACTTCATTGGTCGACTACTACCAAGCAGCTGTATATCGCGACGGCTCTGTAGGTGTCTCATGTTGATAACGGCCAATCGAGCATTCTGCACGCATGCCAATACTCCATCCGCGGTTTGTCGACCAGGTGGAACGCAGTAAAATTTGCTTACTCCAGCTATTGTTAAAGCAGCTGTAGTAAGACTGGGATTTGGAACAAACTAATTCTTAAGCAATATTTTTCACTCCATAGTTGGAGAATACACGTTTAAGATAATTAAACTCGCACTGAGTTAATCCAGAAAATGCGGCCATTTGTCTGTTCTTTACATAGTTATGCAACAAGATCAAACAAAATAACACCTGATTTCACATAGATATCACTGTCTTTCCACAAAAAGATGGCCGATTCAAGAATAATACTCTTTACAGAGTTAAGAAGGAGAGAACAGCTAAGACAATCACCTCAAAATTACTCAAATAAAAAATTGATAATAATTCAAGCTTGGCTTGGAATATTCTTATTAAAAGATACTAATGGTGGAATGAAATTCTTTGGTACACCCCGTCAAAAGCTTCAGTGACAACTCACAGTGAACTGGACTGAGTGCAAGACCACTTTTAGATCAACAAAGATAGGGATAGTAGATCTAAGGAGGGTTGTTTTGTTTTCTGTAACTTCCAATGTGTAAACCCTACGATCATTAGCTTCAACCAGGTCCAAAAACAATGTGATTATCACGCGTGCACCGTTCACGTGCGGCGGACAAATTGTAATGCTACGAGGAACTTTGAGCTGATCCAGAAGGTGTCAGTCATTGGAAATTTTTCAGCACGTAAGTACATATATTTTGAAAACAAAGTTATCCACATGACCTCCTGCCCATATATTGAACTTCAAACAGAGAGAGAGAGAGTTGGCAAGCAGGTTTGCTGTCGACCACCTGAGTGTTACACCTGTTCCAGCAGGATCTCATTTGGTACTCTAATTCAAGTCCCAGATCTTAGATTTTTAAGCATCACTACTGAATAGTAGGAACTCTTGATTGTGAAGTTAGCAGCTTCGTGTGTAATATAAGAAGTAATCCATTTCGGTCTGAGAAAATTAGAAGAGTGTGATTTTGTGCTACGGTTTCCATCGTTTTAGACGAGGCATAAAGTATTATTGAAATATATTTGAGGCCCAAAATACTTTTACCATAAAGTTACATTTGTGGAAACTTCTCATTGATGCACGAGCAAAATCGGTTTTGCCATGATACTTAATCGCAATAATTCTCATGAAGCATTTCTAGTTAATATCCGATGAATACATACCACTAGTCCCGTTAATTAACATGAAACAAAATGATAATTTCGTGGACAGATCCGCAAACGTTTGGAATCGTTATTGAATGAATATAAGTGTTGATCACGATGAGAGAAAGTAGAAAACAAATTTGAAGAGTAATGGTTCACCTCTATGGGACAAATTCAAATTCAAATTTTTATTATGGGATATAACTTACAAAGACTTCGCTTTTTCAAATCCCATAGGGTGTTTACACTTTGGTTCGGAACACGATTCACAATGTCACACACAGTACATTCATGAAATTACAGTAGTAAGGTAATGTTTTTGACGTGCACAGGAGAATATACTATGTAGTTGGCTGTTGAAAAGCAATGATTGCCAGTGCATCATCAAGCTGACGCTTGAAAGATATTAATGTCGGGGCACAGACCACGTGAGGGGGTAGAGAGTTCCATGTGCTGCACACTCTGACTGCAAGCGAGTGACGTCTGCAGTCAAGACGGCTCTTTTGGAGTGCCAACTTCAGCGGGTGCCCTCTGAGATGGACGTTGTGTGATAAAACGAACAGAGATTTACATGGATGGTTGGGTTGTTGGAAACTCCGATAGACTAAGATCATATCACCTCTGATTTGACGATATTGGGATGAACTACGGGTTCTCTGTGGCAATGGTATAACTAGCCGAGTGCATTGTACACCATGGCTGTCCCGCTCCTACTCGCTTTGGTTTTAGCAATGGTAAGAAACTATTCTGTTGCTCTGAAGCATAAGGGTTACGAGATTCCCGTGAAAAACGATTATTTTGTCTACCCATTGTCAAATTTCCACCAGATGTTGCAAGGCTGCACAGCAAGAAACCGGACAACACCATTCAATTCGTTTTTGCATCCGCTTCATTGTGCGTCCGACACGGTATTATACAACCAACTAGAGCAACGTACTGTATTTTAACCAAATGAAGGTTTAAATCTAATAGAGTTTTTCTGATAAGCGTTGGGTCACAAAGTTGTTATTTATTCTCCATTGACTTCGGAAGCTCTCGTCTGAGTTTCAAGTCGTTGGTGCTTTTTGTTGTGTTTATTTTTTTAAATTTTTTTCCTGTAAAAAGCGCATGTGTCTGTTCGTGTATTCCCCGCGTCAAGACGGCTTTGTGTTTTAAACAAATACATCTTCCCACTGAAAATTTTCTTCCATGTTCAAAAGTGTTCAGTATTCGGCCATCTGCCTAATCATAGGAATCGGTGCTGAATACCCCAACACGACTTTTGGCTCACCAAAGAGAGGTTATCTCATATTCCGGCGTTTCTTCTATAATCATGGCAACAGCTCGTGCTTTCGGTTCCAAACCATTTCTGAACCTTTCGATCTGAACGAGTACAACAAAACTATAGTCATGGAACCGTTATCCTCATTTAGCTCCTGAGGTTGGTTGTACTACACGAGAAAGATTCCATTATGATCGGCCTAAACAAAAGGCGTCCTTTATATTGGTATGCACACAAAATTATGCAACCAAAAAAACTTAGGGGAATTCATGAACTTCTGATAAATGAGCCAAGACAGGAGAACAATACGTGGACCCTGCATTTACCAGTTCGAAGGTGATTAAAAATTAATAAATCCAAACAGCCCTGGACAAAGTATGTAATAGATGACGATCCGTGAACTCACAGGGGACTGTTTTGACTCCCATCCAAACAGTTCGCATTTCGAGTACACCAGTGAAATGTCTGGAACAGGTTTCTAGTGTTCTCTGCCGAACTTCACACACAAAAAACGGATAATGCTCTGTCTTACATCCGATGCAGTGTTAGGACACGAATTTGAGATTCGTGGTTAATACAACAGTGACCAATTACGGTGACGGTAAAATTGTTTCCAAAGCAGCGTTCAGTGGAATAGCTTTCATTGGTGTATCACTTCGTGTTTTTGTTTGATGATTCTGCACCATTTCCTTTAAAAAAGTTTGATAGATATAGTTTTGTTCGTTAATTCTTCTGACCACGTTTACATTAAGGTTATAAGTTGATTAATGGCATATAAAAACGAAACTGATGATAACACGGTAGATTCGTCATGTTCCTTGAGAAGAGATATTTGTGCGGAAAAATCATTTTGTTTCAATATTGTACAGATATTTTATCAACTAGTTTTGGAAATCTGTTATCATTTATCTCTATCTGGTAACTTGCAGTGTTGTTTTTTTTCCTTACACCAAAATGTGTTTCCTGGGATCAGTCTACACGGTGCATAATATGGAAACATGAATAAGTTGACTGCACATCCAAAAAGCATTGTTGTTGCACTCTTTCCATACTTGTTCTAAACAATAATAAATAACCGTTATTTGGACAATAGTGTAGATTATTTACCCATGCGTGGGTAAATGCCTAATATCGGTATTTTGACGCCATTATGGAATAATCATTACTAAAATCAACGGATCATCTGCCGTTATATTTGTATAGTCACAACCATCCAGACATTTTGGCGTTTTTTTTTCAACCACAAGCTGCTCTATTACGTCAAACAAGTCAAAAAATCTACGGTATAATGTGATTCAGCCTACATAAAATGTTGCACTTTAAAAATAAGACGAGCCGACAGCATATATCGCAGTGTACCGCATGACCAGGGCTTTTGGTTAAGCTACATCGAAAGTCCATATGCCTGGATTCTCGTGTCCCTGATCAAAAAGGCGTCGGTTTTAGTTTATTGAGAACTCTGGGGGAACAAATCTAATATTTTTCTTGTTGAAAAAGGTAAACAAAAACGATTTTCCTCCGTTTGTCGGCACATTTTAACCATGTTGCTATCATTGGACTGACTGGACCGCCAAAAGCGACGTAAACTAATCACTGACCTACAGTTTGAAGTATCATGTTCAGAAATCCCCTATTCGAAGTCGTACAAAGAAATGGATATTTCTGAGGGACATCTCTTGGAGAAAGTACAAACGACTTCCAAATACTTGCACCTGGAATATTTACCGACTGCTGCGAAACCACTGCACCAAGTTGGTGGGCGAAGATAAACTAAACCATCAAGAATCTCTAGCACAAAAACTTATTTCAAACCCCAAGCTTTCGTACAGACATGTTAACTCAGCTCGAAACGTTATACATGGAATACTGGTGCTCAGTTCTTCTGGAAGAGATAAAGCCAATACAATGGAAGCCGCTGAAACGCACATTGATAGAGGGTTGAATATGGGTTGAAGAAGCAATGAGAGGACTGCAAAGATACGTTTTGTACAAAGAAACATTTTAATGCGTTTTAAAATTTATAAGCATCACTTAAAAGTTTCACGTTAACAAGTCGAAGAAACACTACAAACCTCACTTAGTTCTGTGCTGTTTAAAGATTGCGTGCAGCCAAGCTTCGGTCTGTGATAGATACCCCGGGACGATCATCACCCCTCAATTCACCATAATCAACGGTTATTCTGAACCAAGCTTATAAAATGATCGTCGTTTCTAGCATTTTATAGCAAATTTATACCTTCATTATGATTAATTCAGAATTTCACTTGGCTTATTTGTAAATTTAATTAAATAGCATAGGCAGCATTAGGTGACTTTGAACACTCGAAAGTCCGTACAAAGTCAAGGTAGGCTATCTGTTACCCCCAAATCTCATAAATAAGAGAATTAATGAATATATATATATATATATATACATATGTCATCCTAGTCATGACATGGTTCTTCATGTTTCTGGTTGAATCTGTTTTCACAACAGGAACATAATGTGGACGCAATTCATCCGGGCTATGGGTTCTTGAGCGAACGATCCGATTTCGCCCAAGCTTGTGAGCAGGCTGGGATCTTGTTTATTGGTCCATCTTCGGAAGTGGTACAACGAATGGGTGACAAAGTAGAAGCTAGAAAAGCCGCTCTGAGTGCTAACGTTTCTGTGAGTTTTCTGATTTCATTTACTTTTGCATGCTTTTTAGATGCACACCTGTATTGCCATTCCTTTTAAGCACAAAGTTATCTTTATGGTGACGGAAGATGTATTGAATTGAAAAAGGAAACTTGTGTAAGCTAGGTCCACGGACATCCTATATCTATTGCAATTTTACTTGTAATGTACCCTATCTGCTAAAACGTTTGTTATATTATGTTAACAAGGAGAACTCAGGTTCCATTGTGATCTACGAAATACGGAGAGGCTCCGAAATTATTGTCTTTTAAATAAACAATCATTTTTGCGTTGAGACTGAAAAGTTAGTAGATCAATTAAACAATTGAATACATGTGTGAGTTATTCTTCAATATCTCCCTCTAGGTGGTTCCTGGCAGTCCCGGACCCATCAATACCATAGATGAAGCTATGACATTTACGCACCAACATGGACTACCGGTGATCCTCAAAGCCGCCTACGGAGGAGGTGGTCGTGGAATGCGTGTGGTGCGAGAGCTGAAGGTAATATTTTGCATTTCGTTTGTTTATTTGAGGTTGTAGCAGGAAAGAGGATAAATGTGTTGCGCTGGTTTTTTAAAAGCACTGAAACAATCTACATCATAATGAGTATTTGGAATTAGAACACATCGAATATGCGTTCCGAAGGAATAACCTGTGTTAACTGACAAGGCTCAACTGGTTAAAGAATATATAAAACAAACGATCTGGTTTTTATGATTATTATTATTATTAATCTTCAAAAGCAATATGTGGAAATTCGTCAGAAGTAGTTGCCATCCATGTGATCTGTTTCAACCGAGGAGAAAACAAAGCGTCGTAATACGAGTTCACCATGTGAGTAACAGGCACAGTTAGCCACTGTTCATCGTCAGTCTGTACAATGCATACAGAGTATTTTGGAATACACAATCCGTCAGAGTTCCCCAGGTGCTGACGAACAAATCCAGTGGATTTTGTTACACGTGTCACGTGAATTGCGGTGAATGGTCTATCATCGTCGGGATCAGTAGAAAGTGGTCTTCAGACCGGTTCAAAATAAAAATAGTTTATTCTGCTTGCTAAGGTACAGTAAACTCACGATGGAAAAAATGGAGGATGGAGTGAAGAGATGTTCTTTCCTCTAGTTACTCGAATCAGGGCTCATCTAAACACCATCATTTGATCGTCTATAGATACAATCAGTGGTGGTGACTGGGTGTTTCACTTTAGGAATCAGGAATCAGTGTGGATAGTGGATGGAATTTTGGTGATCAGTGGCCAATTGCAATAACGAACATTGCTTTGTACAAATGATCGTATACTGGGAGATAGGCAGTGAGTCTCATTGAAATAATGTATCTGTGGGTCGCACAATTAACCGATGAGTGCCAAGGTCAAAGATACAATATCTCACAAAGAGCGTGCTAAAGCCTTCTCTCATGTATGGGTTCAGGAGCTGACCAGAGAGACAGCTTAGGATAATTTCAGTTATCTGTGGAAAGTAAAGCGGGGGAGAGGAGAGAAACGAAAAAATGCAATGAAAACCGAAGATGACGTAAGACGACCTCGAATGTGATTCTGGGTATCTGATTACATTTAAACTAAATCAAGTCAAATCCTCTTGAAATGTGATGTAAGTCATAGCAGGAATTTTATGTATCTTAATAAACTACTGAAAAACAGTGATTTCGGAAAACAGTCGTGTTTCATTTTTTTCGTTTGATGTTTCAAACGTTCATGAGAGTTTGATGTAAACCATCAATTTTGATAGAGATATATAGTGCGTCTTAGTGGATTACATTTTGATCGCCCATCATTCAAATAGTCAACTTTTGACTTATTGCACAAAACTATTCAACAGACAGACTGATTGGAGTGAAATGAATCTGTGTCTCTATTTAAAGGGCTAACTCCTTAAAAGGTACCAATCTCGCTAAGGTTACTTGTCTTGAATTGTGGACAGTTTTTGCACAATAACATATCGATTCTATTTTGTTTCTCCAGGTCAACAATGTGCATGTTTTGGGTTGAAAGCTGCCGTTATTCAAGAACGGATTTTTCTGTCTACAGTGTTAGCCTCTTTTACTATTCACCATACTGCGTAGAGTGAGAAAACCAATTGTACGTCAACAACTTTATCTTTGAACTTCCCGTATTTCGACATAAACTCAAAAGTACATCTGGTCGAACTGGAAAATACTAATTGTTTACCGGAAACGGTCCATAAACGGATAAGTCCTTTGTGTGCTCTCTCCACCTTGGAAAACAGATAATTCAGTAAGCTTCAAGCTTTGAGATAGATAAACGTGATTAGAAAAGTGCCGTAGAAAACGGACTGTTCGTTCTTGCGTCGTGATAGTTAAAAATATTCCAATGAATCTGAGGAATAAAATAATTTTGCCATCATTGGACCGAAAAATTGATGAAATTGAGTGTAGTCGTATCTGTGAAGTTCGTTGATCTAAAACGGGAACACGTTTCTTTAATTGATGTACCTAACCATGTGCTTAAGATACTGGTCTCTAACATCAACGTTCTGGATGTAATGATTCCAACGCTCAACCTGAAATCTGACGGTTTGATTCTTGCCAGACACTGAACTAAATAGGCACTGCTGATAAGTCCCAACAAAGATGCAACACGTTTCCAGTGCCCCTTATCAACCGTTTTACACAATTTTATCAACACAAACCGAGTCAATAAGGAAATTATTTGTACATTTAGTATCGGTAGCTTACGTATAAATAATTGCCAGCTGATCTGGATCTGTCCGGAAACGTGAGAATGTAAGTGTGCTGGACATTGTGTGGCAGAACGTATTGATCACTATTGAAATCTGACAGTGAAATAAACATTCCTCACGAATACGGTGCGACCTCTTTCCACAGTGTCTGTTAATTATTAGTGAAATTTGATGGAAGCGCAGTTTTTCCTAGACAGTTTATGTAATGTTCTGTTCCCATGGGTGTTTGTATTAGGGATACTTCTTCAGTTCTACTTCATTTTGAGTTAAGTTTGTTTTCCTGTTTCATAATCTCACTCGCTTATTCCTAGTTTTATTACCCACCGAACTGAGAATTTTAAGATGCAAAAACGGATAAATGCAAACAACTGGGTTCACGAGAATGCCGAAAGGTGTGTCAAATTCGGTTGCGCCTGAATAGATTTGAAACAAGTGCATCAAAAGTGTGTAACAATAAATACAATCAAAGTGGGAGGGACAGTTTAGAGATATCATGTGAAACAGTTCTTGTGGCTTGTCTGGTTTAACCAGTCGGCGCCTTTGACTTTCGGACAAAAGACTCCTTTTATTGTGCCGCGGCACATGACAAATTTGGGCGTAAACTAATTTTTGTCTCATCCGATCACAGTGAGAACAGGGCGGTGTTTTCAAACATGCCTTGGATGGACAAGGTGACACTCGAACTATTATTACCGTATCCCGCTCAATGATCTGCTGGTCCGTCCACAGATGCTCACTGGAGGTGCATATGATCAAGCAGTCCCCAACGCCACTCCTTCGGAACAAGTAGATTCAACGCGGTCTCATGATCTGCGGGTCTGTTCCTAATACTTCTAAATTAACCGTTTTATATGAAGAAGTTTTATTCCTCAATGGGAAGCTACACTGAAGAAGACAATCCTGCTTATGTTGTGAAATAAAAGGCGGTTGATAGAATACGCTACAGCTGGGTGCTCGAAATGCATAAATGAATTGTTTGACTTTACCCGAGGAAATATATAATTGCGTTCAATATTCGATGGTTTGGATGAAACGTGAACTAATTTTTCATAGAAATCAGATTCTGTTTACTAAAATAATATTCTTTTGTGTTTTTTGACAACCAAATCCAATAGAAAAACTTGCCAAATTATTGTTTCGTTTATAAGTATTCAAAGTACTTGTTAACTGTTTTGCTGGGAGTCTCACATCGTGATGGTTCACTTATTTCCTCATGTAAATAGTAACATTAAATGTTATGCAATTGTTTGAATAGGACAACATAACGTTATTCTGTTTTTTTTAAGCAGCATCTGTGTCTTGAAGGGCCGACGTAATTCGATTCAGTAACCTTCGGCTTGGAACTGGATCATTTATCGTCGATTGTTGATTCAACTTCAACATGAAACAAAAACACATTGGTAATGAACGGAAGCAAAAGTAACTTTAAAATACCGAGGAGACCATGAAGGCAAACGAGATGTTGCCGACCCCAGTTGAAATCGAACCCGGAACCTCGGAGTTTGAACGCAATCGTACTACCTAATTTAACTAATAGGGCTCCTTTCTCATAACATACAAAACCGAGTACCATTGGGATTAATGATGGCAATCCAAAACAAAATGGACGGTATATGGTTTTCGGGAAACTTATCAAAGATTTTTTCTCTATCGATAAGTGTTTTTGTCAGTTCTCGACGCGTATGGGATAAAACATTGTAAACCGAAATTTCTTATATCTAGTCTCTACCACAAAGCTTTGAATTGGCAACCTCTGAGGCAAAAGCGGCTTTCGGTAATGGAGCGATGTTCATCGAGAGATTTATCGAATGGCCACGGCACATTGAAGTACAGATTTTGGGTAAGTTTAGTGGATTGATGTCCAGAATTCTCAACGGTTAACTGTGAAATGTATTCCTGTGCATTTGGTTGTTTTAATTGAGTAAATTTGGAAAAAGTTAATGTTCAGCTCATGATAATGATAAAGTAATGTTTGATTTATTCAAAACGAATACACCCAAACAAAAGATTTCCTTAAAAACGTTCCAATCCACTCGAAAGTTGCATTTCACCTCAGTCGAATCATTCTCTCGAGATTGGAAGTGGGAAGATGATGTCTTGGAAAGCATGTTCTAAACACACTGAAGGGTTTCCACGGACAGATTTTTTCCGTGTACCGTGTACTATTTGTACGCGGCAAATAGATTATTGGATGAGGTCAGATGAGGTCTATGTCTTCAGGAGGAAACAGATCACCACCTATAGAGCACCTAGACATAAGTCGGACTTTGTATCTCCCTTGATGTGGCGTTGCAACTTTATCATTGTGAACTACAATTAAAATAAGTGATACCAA